CTCTGTGCTAAGTGAAATAAGCCAGTCAGAGAAAGATAAATATCACATGATCTCACTCATTTATGGAATATAATGAACAACATAAACTGATGAACAAAAAAAGATGCAGAGACAGAGAAACATCGATCAGATGCTCAAAACTCAGGGGGAAGGTAGGGGAGGGTGGGGTGAGGGGGAGAGATCAACCAAAGGACTTGTATGCATGCATATAAGCATAAGTGATGGATGTGGACAATAGGGGGTGAGGGTGAGGGCAGAATTGGGGGGATGAGGGGACATTGGGGGGATAAGGACACATTTGTAATATCTTAATAAAGGAAAATATATTTTTAAAAAAGGAAAAAGGATAATTTTAATCTTTAAAAAAAATTGGTCAGGCCCAGCCAGTGTGGCTCAGTGGTTAAGCATTGACCTAGGAACCAGGAGATCACAGTTCAATTCTTGGTCAGGGCAAGCTGGGTTGCTGGGACACATTTGTAATATCTTAATAAAGGGAAAAATATTTTTAAAAAAGGAAAAAGGATAATTTTAATCTTTAAAAAAAATTGGTCAGGCCCAGCCAGTGTGGCTCAGTGGTTAAGCATTGACCTAGGAACCAGGAGATCACAGTTCAATTCTTGGTCAGGGCACAAGCTGGGTTGCAGACTCAATCCCCAGTGTGGAACGTGCAGGAGGCAGCGAACCTATGATTCTCTCTCATCATAGATGTTTCTCTCTCTCTCTCCCTCTCTGAAATAAATAAGAATATATTTAGAAAAAAAAAAAAGTTGGTCAGGTAGGGCTGGTTTAAAGTAGACATATCAACCAAGCTCATGTGGGGAGCCTCACCTCTGTTTCCTATCCACTTGGTAGTTCCGGAAGTTCTATATATAAACCTCATTTTCCTACCATTCAAAACTCTATTTTCTGATAATATTCAGCTAATAAAGGCAAACAATTTAAAACTAATTTATAATATGTGCTTATAATTGATAACTCACTGAATTTCTGTATACTAACAATGAAATATCAGAAAAGAAAAGAACAATCTTATTTACAATTGTAACAAAAAGGACAAAATACCTAGGAATACACTTAACAAATAAAGTGAAGAATCTGTACACTGAAAACTATAAGACATTGTTGAAAGAAATTGAAGACAAAAATAAATGAAAAGATAGTATATGTTCACGGATTGGGAGAATCAACATTGCTAAAATGGCTATATTACCTAAAGCAATATACATATTTCATGCAAGCTCCATCAAAATCCCAATGGCATTTTTCAAAGAAATAGAACAAAAATTTCTCAAATTTGTATGGAACCATAAAAGACCCTGAATAGTCAAAGCAATGCTGGGGGGGGGGGCAGTCAGAGTGGGGAGGGAAGGCCAGAAGCATCACAATCCCTGACTTCACACTATACTACAAAGCTACAATAATCAAAACAGTATGGTATTGGCAGAAAAAACAGACACACAGACCAATGAAACAGAATTGAGAGCCCAGAAATAAACTCACACATATATGGACAACTAAAGTTTGACAAAAAAGCCAAAAACATATAATGGAGGAAGGAAAGCCTTTTCAATAAATGGAGCTGGAAAAACATATGCAAAAGAATGAAACCAAACTGCTGACATCATACACGACAATTAACTCAAAATGGATTACAGACTTGAAAATAAGACCTGAAACAATAAAAACATGTAGAAGAAAACAAAGACACTAAACTTAAGGACCTTGTTCTCAGAGAGGTTTTAGTGAACTTGATCCCAACGGAAAGGAAAATAAAAGCAAAAATAAATAAATGGGACTACATCAAACTAAAAAGTTTCTGCATAGCCCTAACCGGTTTGGCTCAGCGGATAGAGCGTCAGCCCGTGGACTCAAGGGTCCCAGGTTCGATTCCGGTCAAGGGAATGTACCTTGGTTGCAGGCACATCCCCAGTAGGGGGGGGGCAAGAGGCAGCTGATAGATGTTTCTCTTTCATCGATGTTTCTGACTCTCTATCCCTCTCCCTTCCTCTCTGTAAAAAATCAATAAAATATATTTTTAAAAAAGTTTCTGCATAGCAAAAGACTCAACAAAACAAAAGGCAATCAACCAAAATGGGAAAATACATTTGTAAATGATACCGCCAATAAGAAGCTAATATCCAAAATATGTAAAGAGCTCAGATAACACAACAGGAAAACACAAATCTCAATAAAAATGGGCAGAGGACCTGAACAGACACTTTCCCAAGGAAAACACAGAGGCCAATAGATATATGGAAAGATGCTCAACATCACTATTTATAAGAAAAATGCAAATCCAAATCTGAATGAGACTGCACCTCACACTTGTGGGAATGGCTATTATCACCAAGACAAGAATCAGAAGTGTTGGAGAGGAGTGGAGAAAAGGGAAGCCTTGCACACTGCTGGTGGGAATGTAAACGGGCATAGCTACTATGGAAAACAGCATGGAGGCTCCTCAAAAAATTAAGAGAGATGCCATATGACCCAGCAATGCCTCTTGCGGATATCTACCCCCACATTTTGAAAACATTTATTTGTAAAGATATATGTACCTCCTACATTCATTGCAACATTCATTATTCACATTAGCCAACATATAGAATAAACAAAGTGTCCTTTGAAAGATGATTGGATAAAGATGTAGTACACGTACACGCGCACACACACACACACACAATGGAACACTACTCTGCCATAGAAATTGATGAAATACTGCCATTTGGGACAACATGGATGGATTGTTACAGTATCAGTCTAAAAAAGTGAAATAAGTCAGACAGAAAAGAACAAAAACCATATGCTTTCACTCATACGTGGGATATACAACAAAAAGCAACAAACGAACAAACAAACTCATAGACAGACAGCAGAACAGTGGTTACCAGAGTGGAAGAGGGAGCGGGAAGAGGATGAAAAGGATAAAGGGGATCAAATATATGGTGACAGAAAAAGACTGCACTACAGGTGGCAAGCGCAC